TTTCATATTATATTTTTGGTAGAAGAAACTGTCCGAGGAGGGCCAGGCATTTTCGTATCGTAAAATGATTGCCGTTACAGGATCACGTGATTATCCCAAACACCACCGCGACTTAGAGCGGGAATTATAAATATAGTTAGCTGAGCGGGTCGTATTAAATAGGAAATACTTTTTGTATACATTGCTTGCAATGTATACAGAGTTATAAGCTATATCTCCGCAATCGGTACAGGTTAAGTCGTTACCGAACAACATCCACTCCCGGATAAAAACCGCTATAGAATCTGCAGCAGCGTTACATTTCGACTACACATCATTAAAATATTGTTTGCAAAGTTGTTTTAATGCTTTGAAAGTTCCAAATCGTTCATTTTCATGAAAACCTTGCAATTATCGTGGCTTCGAAAAATAGAAATTTCGTAAGCTATTCTTTTGAATACCTTTTTTACACATGATTTTCATTTCACTTTTGTATGCCTTAGATTTTTAAAAAGAAATATGTTTCGAAATATTTCGAAGATTGCCTGATTCAGTACGGGTAAAAATAATGATTCGGCCACTCGACCATTCGACCCATAACAATTCGTCGACTTTGGGATATTGACGATTAAGCCAGAGCATGGAGCTAAATATAGGCATATGTGGCCAGATTCGACGATAAGAAATAATCATTTGAAACTAACTGTAAATCAGTGTAAGCATTAAGAAATAATTACATTAAATTTATGTTCAGAAAATAGGAATTATTTTAATCTGCTTATATAAATGGGTGCATGGAATTGCCGAAAAACACCGAAAAACACCAAAAAATACCGAAAAACACCTAAAATACAAAGAAATATTAAGGCTGTGATTAAATTCAGCAATATAAAAAATTTTTGATGGTTATTTGATGAAATGGGTTCAATAATATCAGTTTTAAATCGATAATATATCATAAAATACGCTTATGAATGTATTCGCTGAGCCTGCGTCGCACATAGAAAAGCCGAAAAACACATGCCACAGGCAAAAAAAATATGCTAATTTCCATTTTAATCACTAGAGAAATTGTTTTTCACAATTCCGATCAATAAATTTATCAATTGTCAGCATTATATCGAAAAGAACACACTATAAAAATGTTTTTGGAAACTCAACGTGTAAGCTTATAAAATATGGATAAGCCGAAAAACACTTTTTACGGCGATACAATTGGTATAATTTCAACAAAATTAGTTTTATCTACTTTTTTCTATCCTTTAAATGATTAAAATTTACTTTCTTTTTGCAACCGGTGTAAATTAGAGAATGATTCTATCCTGTATTTAATGCGATAAGAAAGTGTTTTCGGCAACGTAACAGTCTAGCGTCAAAAACATGGAAAAGCCGAAAAACACATTTTTACGGGCGATAAAATAGTCGTAGTTAAAACAAGAGCCGCTATTAATTTTTTTCCAACCTTTTAAATGAATTACTATGGCTTGTTTTGTTACCAATGGAAAATGTCAGTGATATTATTTTTATAAATACAGTATGAAAGTGTTTTTCGGCTACGTAACGATCTAGCGTCAAAAACATGGAAAAGCCACCCAAAAAACAACACATTATACTGGCGATGAAATGGACATTTTTAAAATAAGAACTATTAAATAATTTTTTCAACCGTCTACATGAATGATTATAACATTATATTTGTAAGCAATGTAAAATATCAGTAATATTTTTGTAATAAACATTGTATGAAATTTTTTTTCGGCTATGTTACTGCCTAGCGTCAAAAACGTAGAAAAGCCAAAAAACAAAACAACCCCCCCCCCCACATTTTACTTGCTATAAATTAGATATATTCAAGAAAGTGCTGCTAAATACATTTTTCAACCGTTTAAATGAATAACTTTTACATAAATTTTATTACCTTTGTAAATTGTCAGTTATTTTTTGTAATAAATACAGTATGAAAAACTTGTGTTTTTTCGGCTATGTAACAGTCAGCGTTAAAAACATGGGAAAGCCGAAAACCACATTGGACGCGCGATAAGAAAGGTATATGAATAAAAATACCAATAAAATTAGACTTTTCAATCGTTTAAATAATTAACTTTTACTTTTTATTTGTTTATAGTAAAAAATAATCTAGCAGTCGTTTTATATTTATATGCTATATGAACTTGCGTAGTTTCAATAGAGTAAAGAACATATATAGAAAAGCAATAATTTATTTCTGATATAATGGCTACACATCATCTAAATCATTACGCAGTATTCATTTTTATTATCTTATTATTTATTTCAGTGGTGAAACTTATAGGTTGGCTCAGGGTGAGGTTTTAGATTGTTGAATGTCGGTCATCCATCTTATGTCAACTGTGGTCTGTCCACATTTAGCATCGTCGGATACCCACGGCCGAACCATTTACATTTATCAGTTATGTCATGTTAAATGTTAATCAACCATGTGTATCCGACGATGACATTTAGTTGTTAACACTCTGCTGGTCATTTAGTTTGTTAACACTCTACTGGTCACACTTTTGCCCCAATTGTCACACAACATCGTAAGAATGTGTGTGACAGGTTTTGCTCGAGTTTGAACATGGATCACCTTGGTTGAAAATCAGAAGTAGGTCACAGTAGCCAAAAAATAGAAAAAATGTTTTAGCTCAATGGTTCATCTAAAGTTAAGAAGTTGGTAACACAGCCTGATTATGGAAAAACCCTTGTTAACTTGCTGTCCAATATAAATGAATTTCTTGGAAAGGTTGTATATGAAGACTATATGTAACAATTATTGAATAATGAAAATATTACAGTACATTTGAATTGTTTTGATTATAGATTTCATTTTTATTAATAAACGATAAAGTAATGCATTTGAAAATTAATGTGTAGAGATGAATACAACACACCAGAATATATGTATTAATGCATCAAAGTACAGTACATAGATCTGTAACATGGAAAGCTATACAAAAGGATGTACTATAATTTGGTAATTAAGTCTTGTAGGATGATTCAATTAATTGACTTTGTATAGAGTTCAAGCCAGATCATGTATTTTATTAGATAGCATCACTGGAAACTCAATATTACTGTTTCAATATTCTATACTGCAGTCCATTTAACGGGTGTTTCAAAAAATGATTTCTTTATTGCTCATCTATCAGCTTGCCTAGCAATACACAGATGGAACATCACATCTTCCTTGTCTCATAAATAACTTTGGAAGAAAAAAGCCTTGGTGTGAGTCACTTGTTAGGGACATTGACCTTGGTCAGAAGATGACCCCTATTGTTTTTGAGGTCAGTAGGTTAAAATCAACATGGCCTTGATGACAAAAATGAATTATATTATCAAGCAATGTATACTTCAGTACTTTCAGTGCGTTGATTTCCTATCTATTTGTAATGAATATTTACAAACCGTATCTTTTAGTATTTATTGGGTCAATCAATAACAAATAGTTTTTGAAAATAAATTGTCATTTCTCAAATATGTGACTTTGATTTTCAATGAAATTCTACCTTTAATGTATTAGAAAGGTTTTTAATGCTCTGCAAGATAATAATAATAATAATAATAATAAAATAATAATAATAAAGATTTACGAGTTCAGAGAACAAAGAAATTTACGGGGGGGGGGGGTAATGAATTTGTATTGTTTATATTTCTATTTCTGTGTGTTTGCACGATATTCACATGTTCCGTTCAGTGAAATATGTGTAATTTTTTGTGTTTATGTTTTAAAGCAGTAAATTGATCGTGCATTGTTTTTTTATATTTAATTTCCTTGAAATCATTTTACTCATCTGCAGGCATACAACTTTAATATTATGACACATTTATAACATTCAATGAAAATGTTTAAAAATATAAAATATCTGATGACATGTTTGTTCATTTTACATTACACCTTTCATGCAGCAAGCACAGAAGTACCTATATTACATACGAATGTATGTAATATTTTTCTTGTTATAGTTTAAATAGTACATAAACGTCACGATTATACATGTTTCTCACAAAATGGCAAAGTTTATACTTATAACATATTAATACTCTTTGTCGTGAAATACACGATTATTATTATTTATGCCAAATTATTTATTTTTTGAATATATAGTTTAATTTGAACTTGTAATAAAGATTTTCATTTTTTGCTATTATCAATGAATGAGCTATATTTTATTGCTCCTCGTCTTTGTACATAATAACTTCCCGCCAAAAATAAGGAAGGCGGGAAAATTATACTTCTACGCTTTGCTCCACGCCACGACTTTCTCACTTTTCTTGCTTTTCTTGTAATGTTACTTTTTGGCGGTAAATTAGCCTATATAAACACGCCCTTTCACAGCATTAGTTAGATTCGGACATTACAGTTTTTGGAATATACAAGGTGTGTTATGTTTAGTTAAAATAAGAATTATAAGTTTTATAAAAGGTTTGAAATCAAAAATAAAGTGTTTATTGAAAATGAAATAAAAAGTTTGTCTTCAATGTTGGTGTAAAACCTGAATCTCCACCACATTGAAATTGGTCCCGCGAACCGGATGAGTGTTTTTGTGAAAAGTGTTTTTATTAAAAAAGGAATTTAAAAAGTGTTTCGATGGAAAAAGGAAAATCAATTTTGGAAATATTTTCAACTTGTGTAAAGTTCTAAAAATCTAAAAATGTGATATTGTATTTCCACGTGTGATTTTCTGTGATGAAATATGTATTATGAAGACATGTGTTCTGTACTTTACAGTTGAAATGTTTGTGAAAATATTTAATTTGAATGTTTATTATAAATTCCCGCTTTGTAAGTAAAGTAGGCAATGAATAGCTGAGGAATTTTAATGCCACGTGGTGAGAATTAACAAGAAAAAGTGAGTATATTTTGTTTTGAAGTAGTGTTATATGCATCATATTTCATTTAGCGAAATACGGCAGTGAATAATTCATGATGGGCGATACTAACTTGTCATATCTAAAAGGTGTTCGGACACGATTTTACAACTTTCTAGATAAAGAGATTGGAAATGGGGAACAGCTGTGAATATTCAGATGTAATTGTCATGGATGCTGAGGAGCAAGCAGGGATAGAAAATAGGATAGACAAGAAAAAAGTCAATAATTACACGGAAAAACTTACTATTCAGTCTGAAAAAATTGCATTAGCTATTGGAGACAGTGATAGTGAATTCTTACAAGTAGTCATGGATAATGATTCAGCCTTACAGGACAAAGCAATGAGTATAGTATATAAACTTGAAAATGTTCAAAAAGATATGAGAAAGCTTAATGTAGAATACAAACCACTAGAAAGTAAAGGAGCAGAAACTGTAGTACAGCATATGTGTGAGCTTCAATTGAAACTACAACAGGAATTCTTTGAAAAACAACAAAGAAGAAAGGAGGAGCAAATGGAAAAACAACAAAGGTTCTTTGAAGAACAACATGCTTTAAAAGATAAAAGTACAAATACAGTGAAATTACCCAAATTGGACATGATCTCATTCAGTGGAAATCGCCTTCAATGGACGGAATTCTGGGATTCTTTTCGAAGTGCGATACATGAAAATGATAAGCTTTCTCCTATTGATAAAATTAATTATTTGAAAGGAAAATTAGTAGGTGAAGCTAGAAGTGCCATTGCTGGGCTGACATTATCACATGAGAATTATGATATAGCTATTCATATTATTCGTGAAAGATTCGGTGACCTCCAGGATATAATTGATTTACATTACAAAGGTATAGTGAATATCTTACCACCGAAGAATACTACAGAAGGATTAAGATTCTTTTTTCGACAATATTGAGCGTCATTTACGCAGCTTAGAAGTGATGAATGAAAATTTAGACCAACAAGTGTTTGTGTCTATGATTAGAAGCAAACTTCCCAGTGAAGTTCTTCTTCACCTTGAAGTACAAAAGGGTGCTGATACTAAATGGTGTATTAAAACGTTACGGGATTTGCTTCGTAAATACATAGTTTCTAGGGAAAAATCTGACAAACCAAAGTCTCTGAATGACTCGAGTCAGTATGTGAATAAGCAAACAAATCCTCATACGAATAGACATACGAGCATGTCAAATCGTTATAAAAGCCAACCACAGACAAACTATTCTGGAGGAGCATTAGTTGCGAATGAGAAAAGGAAAGTTTTACTTCCATCAGCGAAGATATGCAGATACTGTAGCAAAAATCACTGGAGTGATGAATGTAATAGATACAAAACTATTGAAGAAAGAAAGTCAAAGTTAAAAGGATGCTGCTTTAGATGTTTAAGAGAAGGGCACACGTCTTCTGACTGTAGAAGTAGTAGAATATGGGAATACTGTGACAAATCAAATGTACATCATCGAAGTCTTTGCCCGAAAAGGTTTAAAGGTCCTGTAAGGAGAGAAACAGCTATTGTTTCAAAAGAAACAATATAAGACAAAATTGAAACAAACATAACCAAACCAAACTGAAGAAAATGCAATGATATCTTCAGGAGAAATGGTCCTCATGCAGACAGCTAGGACAGAAATCTTGAATTCTCATAATGATAAACGAGCTAAAGTGCGAATCTTATTAGACTGTGGATCACAAAGAACATATATTACGGAAAAACTAGCAGAAAAACTAAAGTTAAAAAAGGAAAAGATGGAAGAAATTAAGTTGGTAACCTTTGGTAGCAAAGATGTAAAGACAGTTCACACACATTCGACAGCGTTACAGCTAAAATTAAAGAAACATATGAGTATAAGTGCAAACATTGTTCCTGTCATAAGTGGAACTATTCAAAGGAGACAGATAAACGTTCTAGGAAAATATGGCATCAAGGACATAATTCATAGTGTAGACCTAGCAGACAATATTCCAGAGGAAAATGAATTTTCAAGTGTTTAGTTATTAATAGGAAACGACTTCTATCTTGATATTGTTCTCCCACAAAGAATAGAAATTCAATCTGGATTATATCTACTTGCATCCAAGTTAGGCTGGCTACTTACAGGAAGAACTGATGAAAACTCTGTCGAAACTGGAAGTGAAACAAATTTGTTGATTTTAACATACGGAGATTGCCAGACTACAACAAAAATATTTCAATCTACTGATTCTTCGCTTCTTTTGAAACCAGAACTTGTAGATCTTTGGAATACAGAAGCCATAGGTGTAGTTGAAAATAAAGAGACATCTGAAGACAAAGAGGTCATGGAAGGTTTCAAAGATACTTTGAAATTTGAAAACGGAAGATATTATGTCACCTGGCCGTGGAAAGAAGAGAGAAAGGAATTGTTGCCAGTTAATAAAGAATTGTCATTCGGACGGTTAAAATCGTGTGTCAAAAGGTTAAGAAACAAACCAGAACTGTTGGAGAAATATGATTCTATTATTCAGGAGCAATTAAGTAAAGGTATTATAGAAGAAGTGAATGATACCAAAGGTGATTTGATACATTATATACCACATCATGCAGTGATAAATCCACAAAAATCAACAAAGGTACGAGTAGTTTATGATGCTTCATCAAAATGTAAACCAGAATATAGCAGTTTAAACGAATGTTTACATCGAGGACCAGTGATGCATCATGATTTATGTGGACTTTTGATGAGATTCCGCCTACACAAAATAGCTATTATAGCAGACATCGAAAAGGCATTTTTACAAATAGGTTTGCAAGCAAGTGAACGTGACGTGACAAGATTTCTGTGGTTAAAATCATGTGAAAACCAAGTACTGACTTGAAAAATATTCAAGAATTTAGGTTTTGTCGAGTTCCGTTCCGTGATCTCGAGCCCATTTCTACTAGGTACCACTGTAGAGCGTCATTTAGAAAAATATGATACAGAAGTAGCTAACAAGATAAAAAAAACGACATCTATGTTGACAACGTTGTGACAGGAGTAAAAACAGAAACTGAAGCTATTGAACTATATTTGAAATCTAGATGCCTCCATGAACCTTACCCAGCAGGCACTCGACGTTGTTTCAACGTTGAAACAACGTTGAAATATGGTCGTGACGTTGTTCAACCAATATTCAACTATGGACGACCATACGGATATATTGCCAATGTTTATACAACGTTGATTCAACGTTGTTTATGGTCGAAGTTTTACATTTAGTTTAATCATTATAAAAACTTTTATACCGCTAATTTTGTGTAATTATTCCTTTATTGAATTAGTCTGTAAGTGATTTTTGTCAGGAAAATTTGCGTAACAATCTTTTCCCGTATATTCAAAAGTAGCGCTTAAACAAATAAAGTTTGAAATAATTTTTCACTTTCTATTAACGCTTTAAATATTAGTTAATATGTTTTGTTGTTTGTTGTTTTATTTTTTAGTTCTTTATGAATAATATTAATTAATAAATTGATATTAGTCAAAACCCCGCTTATAAAATAACGCTGGTCAGGGGAAGTAATTGTTGAGTTTGTTGTCTATGATTATCGTTCGTGTAAATGGTGGCGTTGTTTGGAAAATTTGAAAACAACACGATTGGCAATTTATTTGGATTTGAAGGTATTACCGTAATGTTTTACTTTAGTTTACTAATTATTTTCTAAAATGTTATTATTTATTCTTAAAATTCTACTTTAATTTACTTTATGAAATAAATGAGAGATGAAAACACATGATTGAGTTGATTTGACACGTTTTCGCGACCTAATTGAATGATTTGGGTTCGGTAGGCTTTGAAAGCATGAAGTTATTGATGTCCTTGGCAATTTATGATTCTACAAATCTTGTCTTTCTTTAATTTATTTTTCATATTATTAAACATTTGTCTGTACTATATCCTAATTAGAATTTAATCAATTATAAAATTTAAACCTATAAAGTAGTTCGGCCCACATAATTTACGTCCCAAGACGATTCGTCAATATATATAACTATGTTTATATTTTAGTGATAGTATAATACAGTGTTAATTAGTTTGAAAAAAAAAACATTATTATTAAGTTAAATAACAAATTTGAGTGTTAAACTTTAAAGTTCAATAGTCGTAAATTTATGGGGAATAATAAATCTATTTCTATTTTATTATATATTATTTTATATTCTAGATCCTGGTCCTGGCTGAAATTTAGAGTATTGCAGCTGTAGCCTGTATACCATACATTAACATGAAAAGGACTGTCAGGTTTGTTAAATTGAAATTTATTCTTATTAATTTATATATTTGAATTTCTTTACAATACAAAGTATAAATTTTTCAACTACTGGATATTTATCTTGTCTTAAAATATATTATTTTCGGAATATTCCTGTAACATTATTAATATAAAATTTACATGTTTGTTGATTTCAGGATGCTGCATAAAATGGTCTTAGCTAGAGCCTAGAATGTTAACTTCTTGGGAATATGCTACAAGGAACTGACGGGGAGCAGTTTTTCTTACCAATCATAGGTGAGACTTTTAAATAGCTTCTTTTTAAAAAGATTTTGTTGTCTTATATACAGTATTTGCTGTCAATATGAAACTTAGCTATGTTTCAATTTCTATGCTGTTTTATTATGTAAATCTTAGAGAAAGAAAAGCATTTTAAGATAAAAACAAATCACTAAGTTGAGTAATTATATGTATTATAGTAACTTTTAACTACAAACTTCTTATTTTTATTTGCAGAGGCAGTAAGAAACAGCCAAAGAAGTACTCAAACACTTGATATACCCAGAAAGATCTAGAAGAAAAGATTGGAACAGATTGTAGCTTAATTGTTAAAACTATTAAAGTGAATTTAAACTGCACTTGAACTGTATTTTTGAAATAAAATATCTGAAGTATTTAATATTGTCTTGATATTTTGTTAAACTTGGTAACTTTGCTTTATATCCAAAAGTTAAGTATGGTGGGTTTTCAACGTTGAAATGACGTTGGCACAACGTTGAAGCTGCAACGTTGTATCAACGTTGAAATTTCAACGTTGTTTCAACTTTCAAATCCGAATATAAATCCAACCTTATTTCAACGTTGAAATCTGACCATAATTCAACGTTGAAACAACGTTGATGTGCCTGCTGGGTAGAGAATGGCTTACAAACAGTGATAAAGTAAATATTTCAATAGCAAAACAAGATCGAACTGAAATGAAAGATACTGGTGTCCTTGGTCATACTTGGAATCCTAAGTCTGATACACTTTCAATAAGACAGCCCAAGATACAAAGTGAAAATAATTTGACAAAAAGATTTGTTCTCAAGGTGATTGCATCAGTTTTTGATCCGTTGGGAATGCTTTCACCTGTATTGCTTAAAGGTAAATTATTGTTACAAAACCTCTGGAAACAAAATCTCTCATGGGATGATGTGATAAAAGATGAAAAATTTAAAGAGGCGTGGTCAGATGTCAGATTAGACATATGCAAAATCTCAGAGTGTTCATTTCCAAGGTGTCTATCAATGGAAAGTAATGAAAACATTACCTACAATTTACTGTGCTTTTGTGATGCATCAATGAAGTCGTACGCTACTACTATCTATCTCCATCAGAAATATGGTAGTGAAGTGAAAGTCGACCTCGTGTTTGCGAAAACACGACTAGCACCTGTTAAAACAATGACAGTGCCTCGATTAGAATTGATGGGTGTTTTGACAGGTGTAAGGTGTTTGAAATTTGTAGAGGAGCAATTAAAATTGGAGATTGAAGGATCATACATTTGGACGGATTCACAATGTGTGATAGGATGGTTAGAAACAACTAAAAAGTTACCTGTGTTTGTGAGTAATCGAATCAGAGAAATAAAATCATATGTTGCAACAAGAATAAGTTATGTAAAATCAAAAGAAAATCCAGCAGATGTTGCAACAAGAGGAGCAACAATACATGACTTACGCAGCAACAAACTTTGGTGGAATGGTCTTCATTGGCTTACAGAATATTTCGAAATGCCCTCCGAAACAGCGAAAAATTTAATTGAAGATTCAAGTACGGTTACTGAGAGCACACGTGTCGTGGAAAGTAACTCCGAAAACTTTGAAACTGAATTTCTTGATGAAGAAAATCTGTCGATTGCATGTACAATTAATGATCATGACAATATTTGTGCTCCATTTGGGATAGACAGTACCAAGTTTTCTTCTGTTGACAAATTGATTCGTACTACTGCTCTTGCCTCACGATTCATTAAGAAAACTAAGAAGCAAAAGTGTGAAAACCAGTCGTTAACATCTCAGGAATTGGAAACGTCGGAAAATATGTGGATCCTATACCTGCAGCGAAAAAATTTCAAAGAAACTATCTGCGGTATATATAATCAGAAAAAAACTACCCTACAAAGACAGTTAGGTCTGTTTATTGATCCTAAAGGAATCTTGAGGAGCAAGGGAAGACTGGAAAATGCAGGAATAACTGAAGGAGCGAAACAACCGATCTTGCTTCCGCGTAAGGAGTGGTTTTACCTTTTTGATAATAGAAAAGGTACATAAACATAATTGTCATTGTGGAGTTTCTCAAACACTTTCGAAAATTCAATATAAATTTTAGATTCCTAAAAGACGTTCAGTTGTTAAATCAGTGTAAGGTAGGTGTTCGACCTGCCATTATTTTTAAGGCGGGCCATACAAGATGCCTGCATTTGCGCCTTTGCCACCTTCCAGAGTTCAGGAAGCACTTCCTTTCTCAATGGTTGGACTTGACTATTTTGTCCGCTGTCGATAAAAACATAAGACGGACCCAATAAAGTATGGGTGTGCCTTTTTACGTGTCTCCTTATCAGAGCTATTCATTTGGAACTTGTACAAGACATGTCTACGGAGGAATTCTTACTAGGATTCAAACGATTTATATCTCAGAGAGGAACACCTGCAGAAATTATAAGCGATAATGCCTCACAATTCAAGGCAGCAAGTCAAACAATAAATAGTATATGGCGAAATGTGTGCCAAAGTCATGAAGTGCAATCTTACGTAAATACTAGAATAAAATGGAAATTTATTGTGGAATTAGCTCAGTGGATGGGAGGATACGAAAGATTAGTTGGAATCGTAAAACGATCTCTTCGTAAATCTCTAGGACATAAATTCCTGACCTTAGTACAAATGCAAACATTGTTGAAAGAAGTAGAGGCAACAGTGAATTCAAGGCCGCTTGTATATGTCACCGACGACATTAACTCGAATATTACACTTACACCTAACCATTTTTTGAGCCTTAACCCGAACTTGGGCATTCCAGAAATGGAGACAAAAGACAAAGACATTGATTATTCACCTAGTGAATGCACAAGTGATAAATTACTAGCAATGTGGAAAAAGGGACAAAATATTTTAAATGAGTTTTGGAGAATTTGGAGAGATGAGTATTTGATTAGTCTTCGTGAACGTATGCAGTCAGAACCGAAGTCGAAGAAAATACAATCCCATTATAGTGCTCAAAATGGAGATGTAGTTCTTATTAAAGACAATTTGCCACGCGGTGTTTGGAAAATGGGACGTATCTGTGAGTTACCTCAAAGTCGGGATGGGCAGATCAGATCAGCAAAAGTAAAAATAGCATCAGGAAAAGTTCTTGGCAGACCTTTGAATTTGCTATATCCGATTGAATGTAATAGCAAGAGAGATTTGCCGAAATTGATAAATGATCAAATTCGATCTTCACCTATTCAGTCGAAAGAGGAGCAAAGTAATCGTGCAGTTCGTAAAGCTGCAGCTCGTGCAAAGCAAAGTATTAAGGAGATGATTACAAATGAATAATGATTACTGAAGTGTTCTCTAATGAACAGTACATTGACAACGATTTATTTGCGTGTTAATGTGTCCTGATTTATAAATTCTTGACAGTTTTGGATTTAAAGTGATTATTGAACTGTTCTCTGGTGTATACTTTAATATTTCATGTGTGTGTTTTATGTGTTCTGTGATGTAAATTGTGCTCAATATAAAGGCTTACATATGATATGATGATCTATCTATTCTTCAAGTAGTGATGATAGTGATTTAAATAATGATGAAAGCAGTGATTCCAGTGGCGATTGTTGTGATGATAGTGTTTCAAGTAAAAGTAATAGAGAAGATAATGATAAAAGTGTTGTTAAAGAAAGCGATGAAAAAGAAAGTGAAGTGATTGATAAAAAAGGTGATGTAAATAATGATGACAGTGATTCAAGAAGTGATGAATTAAATAATTGTGATGGTCATAAAAGTAAAGAGGATTGGAATGGAGAGAAGGAAAACTGTAAAAGAAAAGAGGTAGAAGTAAAGTATAAACGTAATGAAGAGAGTGAATAAGAATTTGTAATTAATGAAGATGATCAAAGATGAAATTAATAACACTTTCTATTCAAGCATTTCTAGCAACGAGGACGTTACTGGTGAAACCTGTTAAAATATGAAAAAGAAATGAACAAAGAAAGAATGAAAATAATAATGAAGATGATAAAAAAAAGATAAATGTGAATATGAAGAAGAAATGGATGAGGTAGAAAGTGAGACAGAAGAGCACATTGGAAAAGAAATGGAAGAAGAAGATGAAAATGATAGTAGAACAGCTGAAACAGGAAGTACACGCGCCACAGAAGAAATTAGTGTGACAAACGATGTATATACGGAATCAGATGATGATGTTGAAATTCTAAATGTTGACATACCAGAAAACATAAGGAGAGTAAGAGTCATAACATCAGTAATAGCTGAAGAAGTGTATACCTATAGAGGAGATGAACTAATACATATTGAACAGCATATGACTAATGATAGTTGGTCCTACACAGAACAGTAAATAGAGTGATATAATTTATGTTTTATTTAGTTGTAACCAATCTTTTGTTACCTTAACCTCCTTGCTGGGAGTGTCGTGAAATACACGATTATTTTTATTCATGCCAAATTATTTTTTTTATTTTTTTGAATATATAGTTTAATTTGAACTTGTAATAAAGATTTTCATTTTTTTGCTATTTTCAATGAATGAGCTATATTTTATTGCTCCTCGTCTTTGTACATAATAACTTCCCGCCAAAAATAAGGAAGGCGGAAAAATTATACTTATACGCTTTGCTCCACGCCACGACTTTCTCACTTTTCTTGCTTTTCTTGTAATGTTACTTTTTGGCGGTAAATTAGCCTATATAAACACGCCTTTTCATAGCATTAGTTAAATTCGGACATTACAGTTTTTGGAATATACAAGGTGTGTTATGTTTAGTTAAAATAAGAATTATAAGTTTTATAAAATGTTTGAAATAAAAAATAAAGTGTTTATTGAAAATGAAATAAAAAGTTTGTCTTCAATGTTGGTGTTAAACCTGAATCTCCACCACACTCTCGCTTAACAAACTCAAATACATTTACACTAATAGTATAACATGTTTCAAGCCATAGCTGTTGGGGAAATTATATTTTTAGTTATCTTATGTTTTTCTGTGCCTTTTTTCTGTGATAATGCAAAACTACTGTGATAATATAGCATATAAGTGTTAAGATACCGAAATCTAGTGAGTATTTTTACCACCTTTATTCTGTGATAATGCAAAACTACTGTGATAATATAGCATATAAGTGTTAAGATACCGAAATCCAGTGAGTATTTTTTCCACTTGCATCTACTAAATCTATTATTAAAAGCCTATCTAGAAATTCTAAGATTAATTCGTAGTCTATCTCATTGTCTATTTTTATTTGAGAAATGAATGTCTCATCTTGTTTCCATCTATTTGATTAACAGGACCCCATTGAAATAAGCACACCAGCTTAATGGGCTATCCTTGTAACCATAGATCAAAACCATTGTATTGAAATTTTATTATTTCTTTTTTCTTTTTTTTTCTTTTAAAATCTATGTTAAACTATTTAGTTTTTATATATCATGTCTATCAGTAACTTTTAACAATATTATGTGCTACTGGAACTGGATTCTGACTTGTTGTAGTCATAATCTGAACTGTGATTTTTTTAAATAATTTTATCCAATGCCTCATCTAATTTCAGTCAATAACTCAATTTATTTAATTTATTATTTATATGAAATGATATTTTAATTTGTTAAACTGTTATGTATATCCTTTTTATGTAACTGTGATCTATGTTGTTGCAAAAATAAAATAAACTAGAACTGCCAATGTCATTGCGTGAATACCCTCGCATACCACTTTGTCAGAATCAACAGTGGCCATTTAGAGCTCAAGGACAACCTCCCTGCCAAATCTAAGTTACTAAGCCAGTGCATTGCTAAGATATGTATTCTACATGCTTCAAATGTGAAAATGTCAAAATCAATACACTGCGGACAGGCATTCTTAAGCATTTGAGCAGACAATCGAATTATATTAAAAATCCCTGTGACTTTGACCTTTGACACAGTCACCTAAAATCAATATGGGCCATTTACAAGTCATAAACAACCTCAATACCAAATATGAAGACAGTTGACCAAAGCATTCTTAAGCAATTGAGCGGAAAAGCTTTTTTTTACTCAAGGCCTCTGTGACCTTGACCTTTGACCCAGTGACCTCAAAATCACCAAGGGTCACCTAATGGTCAGGATTAACCTCCATGCCAAATATGAAGACTGCAGGTCAAAGGAATCTCAAGTTATTGGGCAGACAAGCTTTTTTTAGTCAATGCCTCTGTGACCTTGACCTTTGACCCAGTAATCTCAAAATCAATAGGGATCAACTACTAATAATCACTAACCTCCATGCCAAATATGAAGACTGTGGGTCAAAGGAATCTTAAGTTATTGGGCGGACAAGCTTTTTTTAGTCAATGCCCCTGTGACCTTGACTTTTGACCTCAAAATCAATAGGGAGCATCTACTAATCATGATTAACCTCCATGCCAAATATGAAGACTGTGGGTCAAAGGAATCTTAAGTTATTGAGCAGACAAGTTTATTTAAGTCAAGGTCCGTGACCTTGACCTTTGACCCAGTGACCTCAAAATCAATAAGGGTCATCTACTAATCATCACTAACCTCCATGTCAAATATGAAGACTGTAGGTCAAAGGAATCTTAAGTTATTGGACAGACAAGCATTTTCTAGTCACAAGGCCCCTGTGACCTTAATCTTTGACCCAGTGAACTCAAAATCAATAGAGGTCATCTACTAATCATGACTAACCTCCATGCCAAATATAAAGACTGTGGGTCAAAGGAATCTTAAGTTATTGCGCGGACAAGTTTTTTATAGTCAAGGCCCCTGTGACCTTGACCTTTAACTTGGTGACCTCAAATACAAAAGGGGTTATCTACTAATCATGACTAACCTCCATTCCAAATATGAAGACTGTGGGTCAAAGTAATCTTAAGTTATTGGACAGACACGCATTTTTTAGTCAAGGTCCCTGTGACCTTGACCTTTGACCTGTTGACCTCAAAATCAATAGGGATCATCTACTAATCATAACCAATCTAAATACCAAATATGAAGACTGTGGGTCAAAGGAATCTTAAGTTATTGGGTGGACAGGGAAAAACCGACGGACTGCCTGATGAGAGATGTCCGGACAGACAAGCTGATTCCAGTATACCCCCCTTACAACTGCGTTGTGCGGGGGTATAAAAAAATAAAACTCACAAAGGAGCACTTAAAACAACTTCAAATTGATAATGTTATAATACATAGTGAAGATTGTGTAAAACTGCTTGGGGTAGATATAGACTTTTTACTTAACTTTGATAAACAGGTCACCAGAATGTGTAAAAAAGCTGCAAATCAATTAAATTTGCTTTTAAGAATTTGATTTTTTTTAAATTCTAAATGTTTACTTTTTATTTATAAATCTTTTATTAGGTCCAATTTTTACTTCAAAACAAACACAGAACAGCATTAAAAACTTCAGCATAGAGCTCTATAAGAATAGTTTAAATGCTTTCAACGCTACATATGACACACTATTAAAATCACTGGGCTGCAAGATATATGCATTTTCTGATCTTTGCAAAGTGAACCTATGCTCTTAATCGTACTGTATATATTTAAGTATTTTCTTGTGTAAGGTTATCATGATAAACTATATTTCATCTTGCGCTGAGTATGCAGCGACTGTGTTTAGGGCGAAGTCGGGCGAAAATTTTGCTGAAAATATTTTCACTTCGTCCTAAATGTTTTTATAACTATGGTGGCTGAATTTGAACGCTTTTGTGCGTCGTGTTGACGCTAGCGACAACACGACAAAGCACCAAACGGTGCGTTGTCGGACTTTCGTCTTGTCATACTGTCGCTAACGATGCACGCCAAACGGCGCTAGGTCGTGCGCGTGTTGTCGCGATGTCACAATGTCGCTCGGTTCAAATCGAAGGATTGGCTTATAAGTCAAGCGACAGGGCGACATCACGACAACGTGCCGTGTGGCGTGCTTCGCTAGAGACAGGACGACAAGACGACATCACGACAATGCGCCGTTTGGCACTCTGTCGTATTGTCGCAAGCGACAAGACGAAAAGGGGTTAACGATATAGGTTGTGTTGTCGCTAACGACAGCGCAACGCGCAGTGTACCAAATCAGCCACCATATATAACAGAGAATGTATAGTTCCGGTACAAAAAGTACATTCACATAGTACACTGCCAATGCAAAATAGAAACAAGAGCACCCGAATACAAATTTGTTTTAAATAAATAAAATCTAAATTTAAATTCTAACACTCCACGTGATTTGTTACTATAGATAAAGAAGAAGAAAACCGATGTTAAAATGCCAATAAACACTGATTATGGACTACTTGTATATGCGGTTGTTATGTTTTCACCCTCG